AAGGCAAGGGAGTGATTATCTGAATCGGAGTTTATGTCATCTTCATCAAGTCCTTCATTAACTAGACAGGCTGAGGAGGGTTTCAGGCATACAGAAGCATACTTTGGCCAGACAAAAACCTCAAAGTTTCTTCTGTCTTCCCCTCAATCAAAGTCTCCCTCAGAACTTTAAGTGAGTTCATCTTTGCAACTTCAGGACACACCTGCCCTGCACTAGAAACTTGGTTGGATCTGGCAGATTTCTTCTTGAAATGCTCAGCACTTTTCTTACTTATACCTACCAGAGTTATTTCTGATATATTATATTTGTTCCCAGAAGCTTTTAATCTTTCATGTGAAGGACTTTTTGACCAAATCTGAGTATTTAGTTTCTGCAAAGGAAGTTCACAAGCAGCAGCTTTCTTCTGACTATCTAATTTGCAACTGCCTAACTGCTCAGCAACTTCTACTACTGTCTATTCTTTGTCTTTGAGTGTGGAGTTAGTTTTTTGATCAGCTTTCTTTCTCATTAATATTATTATTTTTTTGTGCAACTGTGACCCTATACCCATTGTATTTGGTCTGTTTCCTGGTAGAGTGGAGGAAACAAAATCTTGTTCATTATCGCTACTACTATCACTACAAGTGCTAGAAGAACTAGATTCATATTGATTTTCAAAATGATCAGGATTATCAATATCTAATGTTTTAATGGCTTTACTGCATAATTGTACTGCTTCTCCTGAATGGCCACTTTGTCCTTCCTTTAACAGCTGAAAATCAGGTTGTCTGTCTTCTTCTCGAACCCACACTAGAGTTTTGGGAATTTGTCCTTCGAAATACTTAGACGCTTTGTAACAAAAATTGCTGCAAAAAACCTTTCTGTCAGTAATATCATAGACTTTATTGGTTTTGGCAGAAGTTTTATATTTCTGCTTTGGTATGATGCCCAGCTTCTTCTGACCAAAAGGATAACCACAGAATTTGATAATTGAACGTTCAACCACAACATCCCTGCAGTGAGCAGGTGTCATGAACTTCCCATGTTCTACTAGGAAGTCTTCTGTAATGTTCTCTCCTAATAGTTGTTTGACAATATGTAGAGCTTTTCTCTCAAACTCAATCTTGTTTTTCACAGCTGCTTCAAGTTCTACTTTCCTTTTAGAAGCATCTTCTTGTCTCAAAGCACTTGTTTTAGTACCTGTAGCCCTACAGGATGCACCAGCAGCTTGGGGCCTGAGGTCTGCTGGACGCTGCACAATGCTGTCAGCCATGAGGAGCGTCGTCAGAGGCAGGGCGGGTCTGGGCGCACGCAAGGGACCTATCTTTGCATTTTCTGAAATCCTCTTCAATCTCTTTTTTTCAGAGTACTATAATTTTCACTATATAAATAATTTACTTTCTTTGTGAGACTGATTCCTAAATATTTCATTTTTTAATATTATTGTGAAATGTGTGGTTTTTCTAATTTCTCTTTGAGTGCACTCATTAAATGCTACTGATTTTTGGATGTTTATTTTGTATCCTGCTATGCTCCTGAACTTGGTTATTGTGGTGGTTGATACATTGTGTCAACTTGGCTGAATCACTTCCTGCTGTGGGGGCCCCCCCCATCCCAAAAGTGGCAGGGCCCAACCTGGGGTGTGATTGGTTCCACCCCAAGGCCATAAGCCGCCTGGGAGTGGGACTCAGCCCAAAAAGGGTATAAAAAGGAGTTGAGGAAGGCTGCCTGATTGACTTGCCCCACTTCCTTGGAGAAGGCCCAGTCTTTGGTCAAGCTTGGTCTTCACAGCCTACACAGCCGCACCACTTTGGAGGACCCATGGAGTGGCCTTCACAGTCAATATAGAAGGAAGAGACAGGCTTGATGGATGCCATAGCTGCTGTTCCTCTGATCTTCATTGTTTTCTGTCACCATGAACTGCTGTTATTTGCCATGGAGCCAGCAAAGTATGAACTGAAACCTCCACAAGCTGAGTTAAATAAATCTTTCTTTCCTTAATTTGAGGTGTTGGGTCTTTTGTCCCAACAATCAGTAAAAAGTGACTAAGACAGTTATTAAGTCTAAAATTCTTGGGCCAGGGAGATGGCTCAGTGGAATAAACACTTCCCTGGCAAGAGCTTAAGGGCTTGAGTTCAATCACTGGTTCTGAAAAAAATAATAAAATAAAAATAAAATTCTCTTGGTTGATTTTTTTTGGAGGGGTCTTCTGTGTAGCGTATCATGTCACCTGCTAATCATGATAATTTCACTTCTTTACATTCCAATCATTATTCCTTTTATTTCTCTCTCTTATCTAATTGCTCTGGCTAATGTTTCCAGAATTATATTGAATAAGAGTGATGACAGTGGACATTTTTCTTTTGTTCTTGATTTTAAAGTGAATGTTTTCAGTTTTTGCTCATTTAGTATGATGTGGGCTATTGGTTTGTCATACTTAGATGATTTTTATCAGGTTGAAGTAAAGGTCATCTATTCTGATTTTCTGTAGGTTTTTTTAAAATCACGAATGAATGTTGGAATTTGTCAAAAGCTTTTTCTGCATATATTGAGATGATCATGTGATTTTTGGTTTTGGTCCCGTTGATGTGGTGTATTACATTCCTGGATTTGGGTATGCTGAGTCATCTCTACATTCCTGGGATGAATCCCACTTAGATATGGTGTATAATCTTCTTGATGATTTGCTTCATTCTGTTTGTTTGTATTTTATTGAGGATTTTTGCATCTATGCTCCTTAAGGAGATTGGCCTATAGTGTTCTCTTTTGGCTGGGTCTTTCTGTGGTTTTGGTATACAGGTAATACTTGTCTCCAGGATTGAGTTTGGGAGAATGGCTTCCCTTTCAATTTCTTTAAAGAGTTTGAGAAAAATTGCTGTTAAATTGTCTACAAATTTCTTGTAAAATTCAGCTGTGAATCCATCAGAACGTAAGCTTTTCTTTGTTGGTAGGGTTTTTTTTTTAATATTTTCAACTTCATTCACTGATATTGGCTTATTTTGAATTTCTATATTTTCTTAGTTCAGCTTTGGTAATTTGTACATATCTAGGAATCCATCCATTTCTTCTGTGCTCTCTGTCCTGTGAGAGTAAAGTTGTTGCAAGTAGGTATTGAAGATCTGAATTTCTACAGGGTCTGCAGTGTTTTCACCCTTTTCATTCCTTCTATATGAATTGGATTTTTTTCTTTTTTAAGAAGGTTGGCTAGGGTTTTAATCTATTTTATTTGTGCTTTCGAAGAAGCAACTCTTCAATTCATCAATTCTTTGTATTGTTTTCTTCATCCCCATTGCATTTATTTTTGCTTTGATCTTTATAATTTTCTGCCTTCTTTGATCTTTTGCCTTGAGTTCCTCTTTTGTAAGGGCTTGAGGGGCAGCATAAGATTGTTTACTTGGGCTTGTTCTCTTTTCCTGATGTAAGAATTTACCACTCTAAATTTCCCTTATAAGAAAGCTTTTGTTGCATCCCACCAGTTCTGGTAAGTTTTATCTGCATTTTCTTTTGATTGAAAGTGTTTAATTTCTTCTTTAATTTCATCTGTGATCCATTGATTGTTCAGGAGGGTGTTATTTAATTTTCATGTTTTTATGGAGTTTTTGCTCTTTCTTTTGCCAATAATTTCCATTTTCATTGCACTGTCATCAGAAAATATGCATTGCATAATTTCAGTCCCTTTGCATTTACTTTAACATGCTCTATGTGCTAATATACGGTCTATTTTGGAGAACATCTCATGTTCAGCAGAGAAGAATGTGTATTATGACATGGTTCAGCAGGACACTATGTAAAGGTCCAATAAGTCCATTTCTTCATAAGTTTGGTTTTGTTCTGCTATTTCTTTGCTTTTTTGCCTAGTTGATGTTTTTCTTTGTGTCAGGGGAGTGTTAAATCCCCCATTACAATTGTGTTATTGCGGAGGCCTGCCCCTTAGTTCAGTTCTTTAAGTGGCTGCTTCAACAAAACAGTCAGGCTCAGGTTGCTGTGGTCCGATCCCCACAACTGAAGCCAGCTAAACCTGCCCTGAAGGCATTCGGAGCAAAACAAAACGAAACAATTGTGTTATTGCTCATTTGATATTTTCATGTCTGTTAAAATTTGTCTTATAAAGTTCTGTGCTCCTATATTGGTTGCATATATATGTCTGATAGTTATCCCTTTTTCCTCTTGCAGTTTTCCCCTAACAAGCATTTAGTGACCTTCTTTATCTTTTTAATCACTTTTTGTTTGCAGTTGACATTGTCAGCCGTCAGAATAGCTCTATGCCTGCTTTTTACTGGGCTCCTGTCACATGGAGCATTGTTTTTGTTATTTTTGAGTTAAATGTGTTTCTTGTATACAGCATACTGTTGGATTTTGTTTCTTGATCTACTCTTCCAGACTTCTTCTTTTGATTGATGAATTGAAACCACTCACATTGATGTTTATAACTGTTATGTATTGGCTTATCTTTGTCATATTACTTTCCCATTGCAGTTTCCTTATTTTTTATCTGTGTTTTTTTAAAAAAAATTGTTAATCTTAGTGAGAAAGAAATAGCAATGAGATAATTTCAAAACGGGTTAGTAGGACAGTTACAGTAATTAATATATATTGTATATTGCTGTCTTTATAGTAGTTTTTCAGAGTACAAGTTGCAGACATGATATCTTGTCTAAACAATATTAGTACAAATCTTTCTTCTCATTGAACTAAGAGAAAGTAGCTGTATATCTATTTTAGCTAATATATATATATATATATATATATATATATATATATATATATATATTTCACTACAAAGTGGTTCTACATTTATATCCCTTTTTTGTTTTGTCAGAGATGGCTATTCCATTGGTGTTACAGAAGTTGTAAATGGAGAAGTCTTTAAAGGACCTTTTCATACGTGATGCCAGTTCAAATATTGTAGGTACTTGAATTCAGAAAAATAACCCAATATAGTCCAATAGTCCATAATAGTAGTGGGTTATTATCAGAACTGGCAAAAACAAACAAACAAACAAACAAACAAACAAACAAACAAAAAACAGTGGTTAGATGCCACAAAGTAGGTGAAAATGCCTTAACCGTATGCACGTTGTCAGGCCCGAGGGCCTCTTCCATCCTTATCAAGAGCAGTACTAACCTTCTCACCTTCATGCCACACTTCTCTATGTTTAATTGCTTCCTCTGCTTAGTGGTTCCTTTCTGTCATTCTTGTTGAAGTTGTGGTCATTTTTGTCTCCTTCTAGAATGTCTGTCAGTACCCCTTGTACAGTTGGTTTGAGGGTTATGAATTTTTTCAGTTGTTCTTTGTCATGGAAGGAACTTATCTCACCACTGAATTTGATAGTGTACCTTAATCTGGGTTGGAAGTTGTTTTCTTTCAGGGCCTGAAGTACTTCACTCCAAGTTCTTGAGTTGATGGTTTGTGTTAAGAAATCTGTTGTGATTCTGATGGGCTTTCCACTATATGTGATCATTTGTTTCTTTTCTCTGACAGCTTTTAATATTCTGTTCTTTTGCGGAATTTTTAGGATCTTGATTATCATGTGTCTGGGTGTAGATTTATTTTGATTATGGCTAGTTGGAATTTTATATGCCTTACTTAATTGTATATCAGATTTTCCCCCATGCTTTGGAAATTTTCTGCTAGCAGTTTCTGTAGTCTTTTAATGTCATTTCTGTTGACTCCTGCTGTTTTATTGATCCTATTAGTCTTATATTATTTTTGCTTGGATCATGCTGCAGTTATTACTTTCTTATTTCCTGGTTCCTTATTATGTTGGGCCAATTTTTCCTTTTGCACTCACTAACTGAAGTACTGCTTTCAAGGTCTGAAAGTCTATCTAGTTTCATTCAAGCAGTTTTGCCAATTTTCATTGGAATTCTTAATTTCTTGAATATCTGCTTGAGTTCGTTTCATGCATTCTATTTCTTTCTTGTATTGTTTAATGTTTCCTCCATTTTTCTATTTCCCTCTATTGTTTAAAATCTAAATCTTCTTTAGATGTGCTGAACAATTCTTTCATGATTTTTGTCTTTTTTTTTTTTTTACCTGAGAGATTATTTCTGATCTCACCTCTTCTATAGCCTGATGGAGTTGTTAAGTTGTTTTTTTACTTCATTTGCTATCATTTCTGAAATTTCAGTTGTGACTTTCAAGTTTTTCTCTAATTTTGTCTCCTGGACTTTTTCTGGGTGGACTTGAGGTCTCAGATTGTCTTTTGATTTTTCATCTTGACGTTTTTGAAGCTGCCAATGTTCACCTGGACTCAGCTGTTATGGGGGGGCAGGGTGTGGGTGAGCACAGATTCCGGGACAGTAGGAGGGTAGAGTAGGCTTGCCAAAGCTCCTGCTGTGTGGGGTTCAACGTGGTTTACTCTTTGGTGAGAGGCAGGACTGAGCAGCAGCTCAAAAAGTTCTGATGATGATGGGGGAAGGCCAAAGCTGCTTAAGGCTCACCTGATTGTTTGTGGGGGCTAGGTAGAGTTCACCAAGTCTCCTGCTACCAGCTACGAATGCAAGAGATAGCAGCAACTCAGTTGAGCTCCTTAGATGACCAGTTTTGATTGGGTCTTTAAGTTTCAGGTAGTATAATTTTACTCTTGGTGTTGTTGGGGATTGAACCCAGGACCTTCTTCATGCAAAGCAAGAACTCTACCACAGAGCCACATGCCCAGCCTTGGGGAGGTGGCCTAAATGTTTTTTAATGTAGGTAGTACAGGGTCTACAGGGTCTCATTACACAGATTAGACTTGTAGTGGTCATCTTGTTTTCAACCTACCAAGCATTGAGATCAGAGGCATGTGCCACCACACCCAGTCTGTACAGTTTTTTTGAGTTCTTTGTATATTCTATAAATCAGTCCTTTGTCTGAAATATAGCTTGCAAACTGTTTTCAGTTCTGTAGATTTTCTTTTCACTCTGTTGGTGGTTTCCTTTGCTGTGCAAACACTTTTTAATTTAATGTGGCCCCATTTGTTGATTCTTGGTATTGTTTTTTGCATATCAAGAGTATTATTCAGAAGTCTTTTCAGACCTGTATGTCCTCAAGAGTTTTATCTATTTTGTCCTCAAGCAAATTGCTTCTGTTCTAATGCTGAAAATCTTTTAACCATTTTGATTTTAGTTTAGTGTACCACGAGAGATATGGATCTAAGTTCAACCTCCTCTGGCATACAGATGGCTATTTTTCCTAGGACCATTTTTAATGAGGCTTTCTTCCTTTTTAAAAATTATTTCATCTAATTTTATTACTTTTTATGTATATATGAAAGGGTCTACAGGGTCTCACTACACAGACTGGACACATAGTGATCCTCCTGTTTTCAGCCTCCCAAGTGCTGGGATTATAGGCACACACCACCATGTCTAGTCTTAGGTGCCATCTCAGCGAGCCCCTGGGGGTGGGGACAGCATGACATTCTGGGGATTGAACCCCAGTCTCCGCATCTGCCTAAGCAGGTGCTTTAATACACTGAACTAGCTGGCCAGCCCTGTTTTATTTTATTTTGAAGAATAGCAAACGCAAGAGTAAAAATCAGAAACAAAGACAGAAACAGGGTAACATACAGCAATACATATGTTGCAGATTATCAAAACAGGGATAGCTGATTAACACTGGTTGATATGCTACTCTACTTTTTATCATCAAATCTGTTATTCATCTTGACAGATACAGTTATGTACAGTTGGACACATAAACAAATATTACTGCTTGCTTTCAGGAAACCTTAAATTTTTGTTCTTGTCTCTCTTTGTTTTTATTCTCTTACCTTTAAAAAAATATTTTAAGGAGAGTATAGTAACAATTGACAGGACATTAGGAATGATACACAATTAGAAGACCAATATGACAGGCATTCAAACATGGCTTTTGTATTACACACTGCTATTAACAATGGTCTCTGCCTCTCTTAGTAGTTTTCCTCATCACTGGAACAAAATACCCACCACCTGTAACCGGAAGAGAGGTTTGTTTTGGTTCACATTCCAGCTAGCTGGCTTCAGGGATGGAACAGCATGGTAAGGGGTATGGCCAGGGCAAAGCCGGTCTTGGCATGGCTGCCAGGAAGCCGAGAGCAAGGGGCGGAGCTCTTGGGGATAGAGACCTTTAAGATCATGCTGAGTGACATGTCTCTTCCTACCAAGCCCCACCCTCCCAATTCCATGATCCAATCACCTTCCACAATGGCCCCTCTCCGGGCATCAAACTTTGGGGGGATATCCATATATAAACCATAGCCCTGCTGATTTCCCTCTTACATTTTTTATATGTATGTATGTATGTATTTAGGACAGGATCTATGGAGTTTCACTATGTAGATCGGACTTGTAGTGATTTTCCTGTTTTCAGACTCTCAAGCGCTGGGATTACAGGCAAGAACCACTACACCCAGTTTCAATCACCATCTCAGCACCCCTGGGGGGCAGGGCTGGCACAGAGCACCAGGGAATGAATCACGGCCACTGCACTATGCCTAAGCAGACACTTTAGTCTGCTGAGCTATCTGACTGGCCCTATTGTCCTATAATTTAAAGAAAAAGAATACAAGATGCTAATACAAAAACAGCAGTAGAAATGATAAAAAATTTTACTAAACAATGTAGTAGGAATTGAATAGTGATTTTGGAATTGCGTGATGTTGTCTTTCAATTAGCTGTTTAGGTTATCAGATACAGCATGCAAAATTGATTTAAAAATAGGAAAACAGAACAACCACAAAGTTATAAGAAATTAAAAAGAAGAAAAACAATAAAAGGAAAAACAATTTAAGCATCAACTGCTCCTTTCCAAACACCAGCAGATAACTGTGCTCCCTTCTGCTTGAATGTGTTCTTTACTCTGCCTTTCTGATGGGTTTTCTACTCTGATGGCATCTGCCAAGGTCATCACGCTGTGATCCAATGCAGTGCTGGGCCCCAAAACGACAACGTGTCCCTCCAAAACTAACTTCTGTATTCTTCCTCTACTCCCAAAATAAACTTTCCACTTCCTTTTTGACTGTGTGCACCAAGAGCCTTCCAATCTTCCCCTGATAGAACACTTCACCCAACCATATAAACTCCACCCCTCGTCCAATTTGGTGCAAGCCTGTTCCCCAGCTTCCTTCTCCGAGGTAGTTATAAAAGCTGTGGCAACCTTAAAGAGTGTGATATCTGCAAAGTGCAGAGGCTAAGTTGAAAAGGAGTGGGTAGGGAGAGATGAAACAAGGGGGAGAGTGACACGTGTGCAAAGTGCAGATGGCTCTTGCTGGAAGCTTACTCGTCTGTAGTTCACTGATGACTGACTTCTCTCCATCTTGGTCACGTCTGGCTCCCCACTGCCTTCCTTGGTGCCTGATGCATAGTAATCAGTGAAGAACTGTTTCTTTGAAATGAGTTAATGCTCTTACATTGTTTGCTGAAAGCTCGACATCAGCTACATCTTGCAGTCTCTGGCAGCCCTCCCTGGCAGGCAATGAAGGCTTTCTTTTTCTTTTCTTTCTTTTTTTTTTTTTTTTTTGCAGAACCGGGGATTGAACCCAGACCCTTGTGCTTGCCAAGAAAGCACTTATTCTACTGAGCTCTCTCCCCGGCCCCAAGGCTTTTTTTTTTCACCTTTGTCAGTGTCTCTCAATAGTACTAATGCCTCACGCTTTCAAAAGTCTTTTTCTCTTGCTGACCTTAGCCATGCCTATCAACTGCTTTATGCCTATGCAATTTGTATCTTCATTTGAGGCCTCTCTTAGATTGCTGAACTAATGTCCAGCCTTTCATTATTCATTTCTACGTGGACATCATTTTAATCTGTTTAATGCCAGAGTCATGATTTTCATTTTTAGTTCTACCCAAATGAGTATCTCTCTCTTCTAATGTGCTTGAGATTCTCAATAAACAAATAACACTAAACTCATCAAGGAAGAAAACAAGCAAGTAGGCTTTCTTCTTGATTCCTCTGACACACCATAGTAGCCAGTGTCTATTGAATCTAGGTCCTCTGCCTTCCTAGCAAACTCTATGACCATTAAAAGGAGTCTTTACTTAGTGTATTGAATTTCTCATCTACTTGTCTGCAGTTCACTGATAAATGACTTCTCTCCATCTTGGTCATGTCTGACTCCCCACTGTCTTCCTTGGTACCTGATACATAGTAATCAGTGAAGAACTGTTTCTTTGAAAAGA